ATTAATTCAGTTTCTGTCCCCAAAAGGAGCCCCCCCAGGTCAGACCCCCAGAGCAGGGAGTCGCCCCCTCGAAGCTGGCGGGCACCGGCCTGTCTCGGGCCCGGCCGGTGTGTGCGCCGGCGTGGGCTGCGGTTCTGCGTGTCACCCTGAGTGGGAAGAGAAATATTTCCTTTCCACACTTCTGTAGTCTCATAAATCAGCTGGGCCCTGGTAGCAGTGAAGGAAAAAGAAATGTTCTTCAGAGTGAATGTAAGTCTTTTTATTTAAAAAAAAAAAAAATTTGCTTGAGGTAATTATAAGTAATGGCAGATTCATTACAGCGGTCTACTTTGCATACCCATTGTTCTGTGTCGTTTTTTACTTTGGTTTCTTTTCTTTTTTTTTTTTTTTTCTTGGACAACACTGTAAATACTCCTAAGTCAAAACCACATCGCGGCAGAGCACAAAGACTCTAGTTCTGGGCCTTGGCAGCACGTTTGCGAAGGAGGAGGTCATCAGCAGAGGGTGGGCGGGGAGAGGGCGAGGATGAAACAAACAGAAAGTTTAGGTGGTGGGCGCAGGGCCATTCACAGCCCCAGCACAAGGACACAGCCTGGGCTCAGCGTGTCTGGGGGAGCCAAAACATACTTCCTAATCTTCCATTGCGGCTGTAACGCATTACCCCAAACTCAGCGGCTTACACAAAACGCAGCACAACTGTATTGCCTTACATTTAGGGGGTCAGCAATGCACCACGAGGACCACGGGCTAAAATCAGGGGTCGGTAGAACTGTGTCCACCTGGGGCTCTGGGGATCCATCTGTTTTCCTTGCCTTCCTCGACTCTAGGGGGCGCTCTCGTTCCTTGCCGCGTGGCTCCTTTTCCTCCTCTTAGGGAACAATGACCCTGCAAGTCTTTCTCACACCACCTCCAGCTCTTCCTCCGCCACATCCCACGTTTAAAGGCCCTTCGTGGTCACACGAGTCCACTCAGATACTCCGGACAGCTTCCGTCTCTGAAGGTTGCATCACAGGCAAGTGTACCCCATTTGCAACCTTAATCCCTCCTTGCCACGTGGAATGACATGCTCAGACGTTCCTGGAATGAGGGCATTCCCTTCTTTGCGGAGCCCTTATTCTACCCCCTCTGTCCCATCCGTACAGTTAGCGCCCTCTCACTGGAGTCTTACCTGCATATTCATTTCTCCGGCACCCTACGAAATGTAGCACTGTCAGGCTGGGGCCGAGACTTGGCACCCAAAATTCTCCGACACCAAGAATTCTCTTTCCGTTCTGGGAAAATGAAATTCCTATAACTGAACATCGGAAACTCATTAACAACAAAAAAATTATGCTTGGGAGACTTCAAAGAAATGCTGGAGCTAACTGTCGGGAGTCTCACCTCAGAGCGCTTGCGCCTGAGTCCCTTTCTCCAACTCACATTTCATCACACGTTTTCATTGCAATGGCTATTACTAAATATGAGTCTAATTGTGTTATGGCTCCTCTTAGCATTTACCCTAGGATTTGCATAGATAACACAACTTTCAGACTTCCCGCCACACCCCCATGTTGCAGTGTTTCTTGAACATGACATGATTTTCTGACCTATTTTTGATTTTGCGATGTATTCGGCCTCTTTCAGAGCTTACTGGTTTCCCACAGAGTGCACTGGTGGTACGTAATAAGAGAACAAGAGTTTGAAGGACTGGTTGCTCACTTCATTTTGTAAAAAGAGAACGTAAACTGTTTTTAATGTCTACTCCATTTAGTCACTTAATTAAAAAAAAGAGAAGTCAACTCTTTAGTACATTTACAGTCTCTTTAAACCCTCTTAAAGAATGAATAAAGACAGAAGAGTGGGAACATCTTGGATAATGTTGGTTATGAACACAGACAGCAAGTATCTGAAGAAAAGACAGCCCAAAGCAGGCTGTCTACAGTATTCTTCCAGAGTAGGTACCAGTTTCTCGAGATCTTTACATTTACGGGTATGCAGATGTATGATATATAGAATTTTACTGTGTTTCACACTAACATTTTTTTAAAGGACATAGACTCCTAAAAAATGTTTTTTGAATGAGAATTCTTGGACGTGTTTTGTCCTCCTTACCCTACAATGTATGTGGTCCATCACCCTCCTGAGAAAATATTGTTTCAATGTGTACCTAACAGAGGGCACTGAAGTAGATGATTTCAGAAATTACTCATTACATAATTTCACTTAGTCTTTTTTCTGAACAAAAGTCTTTTGATTTAGAGATTTTGCTGTTATGTAAGTCAATATATTACCTCAAATTATATTTAAAAATTAGGCACATCAGACCATTATAAGGGTTTAAATTTTTATACATGATAATTAATAATTAAGTAAATTCCAACTGAGAATGAAATAATATTTTATTTAGTAGCTTAATTGCTCTTGTTTAATAAAAATAACAATTTTAATATTTGACTTAAATTTTTAATATCTTTATAGTTTACGGATGAATCACCTATCTCAAAAAGATCTCACAGAAGTACACAAACCAGTGGAACATTTTTATTGTCCTCCTTTATTTTCTTGATAGGACTCAAAATTAAGAGTATTTGACATTATGTTATTTATGCACGTATTCATTTCTAATATCTGTTTCTCCTACCACAACTGTAATGTCTATGAGCTTAATGTACCCAGATCAAGGCCAACGCAGAGTAGGTGCTCAGTGCTTCCTTTGAACAAGTGAATGAATGCATCAGTGAAGTTCACGTTGAACTTCAGAATCATGGTCTTGACCTTAGTTAACTAACTGCATTAGTTGATTCAGCACAATAATAATGATTAAAAAAATTAACATGTTTATGTAGATTTTAAAGTTAAAATCTCATTTACATTAAGATTCTGAAAGAGGAAGGCGAACATCGGGTTTTCTGACACGTATAATTTCCCTCATCTAGTAAAGCACAGATTTGGAATTCACACAATTTTCCTAGCAATAACAAGTTGAAACCAACCTCAATTAAAACAGTAGGAATCCCCTGAATTCTATAGGGCACACTCTGCATTAATTATTTAATTTGCACATTCTCCGTTCTCCCCCGAAACACAATAAGGTAGGAATTATCAGACTCCTTATTACCCCAATTAAGAGTTGATTAGATTGAAGTTGAGATGTTTTTGAAAACTCAAATGAACCAGTAAGAAGCCGGAACTTCATCAGCGCTGCCTCGCCTCTGTCTCACCGCTCTCTTTCTAAACCTCGTGTGATTCCCCACCACAGTACACACTCCTGCCCAGCGTCTTCTCCAATCTCAACTGAAACTAAATACACAAATTCTGTTGTAGCTTTATTTCAGTCTAATCTCACAGCGTTTTTGCCAAGTGAAAGGCAATATGGCAGGGAGGAAGTATGGATTCCCTCTACTAACTCATTCATCGTATGTTAGGGTAAAGGGTGAGGGATTATGTCCCTTTGCTAGCTTATGCTTTAAGTTTGACTTTTTTCGAACAACACCAGAATTTAACAATGTACCTGTTGTTTTTTTTTTCAGTAAATTGCAAAACAAAAGCAACTAGAAAAAACTAACTCAAACATTGATTGAAAACATTCGACCTTCTTCTGAACCATTAATGTCCACCAGTGAAATGTGGAGTTACAATTTGTTTAGCAGGTTTAATGTTTGGCTTCACTTAACATGCTTAATATTGACACTATGGGTATTAATGTCAATTCAGAGGCTATGCAAATTAGTTTTCATATTTCTTATCAAGGGAGCTCCTAAAAATTAGATATTTGTGTGTTTGTGACAGAATCTTTTTACTGAATAACAGAAGATTGTCAAGGCGTGGTTAGTGATACACTCTCCAGAGGTTTTCTCTGGATCAAAGCTTTTTTGTCCATTTGTGTTTGATTTCGTGCCTTACAGGTGGGTTGTGGAATTAGCGTTTTGAACACAAATTGGCCTTTTGCAGGTAGGGACCTGATAAAATGGCTGGATGCGAGGCAGCCTCATTGATCGCCGTCCAGAGCACGTGCTATTCTGGGCTTGTTTATTTCCTTCCTTCCCCTACGAGTGAGGGCTGGGAGTACAGGAAAAATGCTCGCTCCTGATCATCAGGTAAAAAGGAAATTTCCCTCTGGAAGCCACTAAGAAACTCTTTTATTTTCATTTATAGTTGTCATTATGACAATTATAATGTGAATCGGCTGCAGGACCCGAGGGGCAGACATGCCGGAAACCTGTGTATGACAGAGGGTTTTCGCCATCGGTGTTCCCCGGGGAGAAAGACGAGGTCACACCGACCCAGCTCCCACATCGCACGTAGGGTCATCCTCGCGTCCTGGGATCTTTTCACCGCTTTCCTCCTTCTCGCACATCTCGAGAAATCCTTGTTCCTCTACCCCGAAGCTGTTCTCCTCGACAGAATTCATATCACGAGAGGAATTTTTATGCTACTTTTAGAACAAGTTGCATGATACAAAAATACTACATGAACAACAAACTACTTGAGGTAGTGTCCGTTTAAGCAGTAGTTAAAAGCTGCTTGAAAATCCAGTGTTATTGTATGGGATGAAGTAAACCAGTAGCTGGCATTAATTTTTACAAGGTATGGGTATGTTCAAACATTCAAAATACTTACGTTATAGAAGTGAACTCAAAACTGAAATGGTTCCACAGGTAACTGGATATCTTAAACTTTTGAGATAAACTAGGAAAATATACCACTCCCTGGTAGTTGGGGTAGAAAGGTGGAATACCGCTATACCCTATCCTTCAGTATTTTCTTTTCATTTGAAGCTTAAAATAAAACTTTATTTAGAAAGGCCAAAATCATTGTATGCTAATTTGAACAGCTAAAGTGTATAAGAAATGACTTGAAAATTCCCTTTCCTAAGGAATTGGATCTCATTATGATATGTCCTCTCTAGTTGGAATGTAGTATATGTGCCATGTTCTTTTTCAGATATGGAAAAAGGAAACAACAATTGATTTTTCAACAAGTGATTATTCTTTCTTTTCTCATGTTTAGAAGTACTCATAATCTCTCAGTTCCTTCTGGAACTTCCCAGCTCTCCCCTAGCCAGCCCCACTGGGTTCACAGGCCCTGGAACTAGGAAGAGAGATTGGATATGTGACTGTTTCTCTCCCTGGGACGACAATGTGTTTCCAGTATCCAGACATCAGCTAGTCTATATTACTATGCGCACGCCTATATATGTATGCATAGAGACATAGGATTATGCACATTAAAGTCACTTTAATAGCGTTAATTGTCAGGAGAAATAAAAATAGGATGCTTGAATTATTCTCCTGGCTCCCACTTATCACTGATTGTGGGGAACACGCAGACCGCATGCGTCTTCCTGGTGTCTGAAGCAGCACAGTGTGTATCTGATGACAGCTACAAGGATTTCAGCCATAAGGCTGGGAAGAAACTAATTTCATTATAATCCAGTTCTGTGTCAGCACTGACAAATAAAGCAGTAGCCTAGAATAATTACTACAGGTTTTCCCGATTGCAAAAATAAAAGCTCTGCAAATGAAATGTGTATGGAGCATGACTCCACATACTTCTCTTCACATTAAATGTGTCCACAAACCCTTGAAGCATGTTAAGCTATATTTGAATCGGAACATTTACTATTGTTTTTCTGTTGATAAACCGAAATTAATTATTTTAATTAATTCCTCTCAATATTCCTCATATTCAAAAATCAATACACTTTTACAATGCTTTCTCAGAGATCCCTGTTTTCCTTCACTATACATACTAGGTATGTTTGATATATATATATATATATATATATATATATGACATAAATATATATATTTTTATATATGACACACATACATATGTATAAATAACACAAATGACTAACAATTCAAAATTCTGGAAGTGGAGTATGAATGCATTCATATCTTTGGTCTATATTTCTTTATGTTCGCTCATTATTAAACATTTAATAACAATTCCAATGTACATACTTACTTAGGACTGTCAATGTTTATAGAAGATTGTTAGAATTGTATTACATTGATTCGTGTCCTACTTTAAGGAGAAAACTCAATTCATACACTCATGTTTGCTGAATTTATTTGATCTCTTATAAAATTGTTTTACCTGACCACCATCCAGCACTATGACATAGAAATAAATTAAAGTATGTCATTATACATGACTTGTAACTTCTCTCTTAAAATGGAGATTCTCTATTTGCATGCTTTAAAAACTCTTGTGGCACACTAGTTGAACATTTCTGCACTGAAGTGTGTACAGAAAGATGCATGTTACACAGCCAATGTCGGCCAACAATGGCTAAGATCCATTGAGTGTTGAGTACTCTGCTAAGTACTTACAGGATTTTCTGGTATAACAATTGACTGTTCAATGAGAGAGACGAAGAATACACTGAAGGTCATCCGGGTCATGTACTGACTAAGTCACAGAGCAAGCACATTCGGAGACAAGTCTAGAACCCGGGTCTCCTGGATTCTAAGTGCTGTGTTGCTGACGACTCCGCAGTGCCTTGCTGAAGGGGAAGCATGGCCTCTGGATTACTTTCTTTTTAGTTGATGTGGGGGGAGGGGAGTATACATTCTGCAGGTAACGACTCTTTCCCGTACATGTCCTGTTTCACTAACCCCCATCTTCCAAACCCACATTTCAGAACATTTCACTTTATTGACAAGAAAATATGGTGGCAATGATTCAAATATAATAATACTAGGTGAGTAGAATCTGGATTATATAGATAACAAACACAGAAGATAATATTTCTATCTTAATCCTAACCCCCGATCTTTGAGCAAGAGAACAGGAAACATAGTTGAAAGTAGAGTATTTGGCGTGTGTATGTGTGGTGTTTAACACAAGTGTGTAAATTATTCAAAGAAAAAAACTCTAATGCTCTTGTTAAGTCAGATAAACAGACGGAGCAGGAAAATACAAAAATTCCCCCGGAACACTTGTATCATACAAAATTCTGTTAGATGTCAGGTTTAAAGTGAGGTACAGTTCCTTCTGAATGACTTAGGGGTTTTGTTCTAAGGACAGAAGAAGCTCGCGTCACTGAAAACATAGAACATTAAGGACACTCAGCCACTTGGATGTGCACCGAACTCTAGTGCGGCATGGACTCCGGAGAACACAATACTTAAAGTGAGCTTCGATATAATCAGAAAAATATGCAAGTATCTGACTGATTTCTCAAGAAAAAGATACACATAGCAGTTATTCCTGTGAAATAACAGAAGAGAACCAAAATAAAAGGGTGACACGGAGGCACATATTAATGCCGAGAGGTGTCCCCATAAGTAAGTAACTAGTTATCAGTAAAGGGAGCGAAGGGAGTTCAATCAACACTGAGCTGAATAAACAGGAGCCCGTGTGCCTCACCGGGAAGCTACAGGACACTCCAGGGGGCCACGGCGGGCGTTTCTCTGCCAAGGGGATTAGCATTCTGCCCTTCACGCCTCTAGTGCCAGATCCTTGGGGCACACAGGGGGACGTGCTTGACCAGAGGCCTGTCAGTCTAACTAGGGGGTGTAGCCTATCAAAAGCCCACAAAAGCTTGGGAACTTGAATGGTTCTTTTGGAAAAGCACCTAGTCCATCCCCAACCCAAGCCAGTATAATTCCCAGAAGAACAAAAACTCTCTCTCTCTCTCTCTCTCTCTCTCTCTCTCTCTCTCTCTCTCTCTCTCTCTCTCTCTCTCTCTCTCGTCTTTCCCTGTCTCTCTTTCTCTCTGTCTCTCTCTTCCCTTCATGCATTCATGACCCACACTTGCCTCATTCACTGACATGCTCTCTCGCCAAGGACCCAGTCACCCCGTGCATTTACACATTCCTTCTCCTGGGGGCCCTCAGCCATGCAAGTCTAGCAGTGACCAGGGTCCACAGCAGAGTTTGTGGGCCTCAGAAGACTAAGCTGTAATAGAAAGCTGCAGCTCAGACACTGAGTTTGGGGGGGCCTTGCTGAAGGCAAGGTTGGGCTTTTTCCATGGTGGGATGGGCAGAGACGGGACATTGGAAACGCAGGGGCAGCCTTTGCCACAAATAAACCCTCTTGCCACACCACAGTTTCCCCTGAGTGGGGCCTTGGAATGCTTTCCCTCTGGTCCTGTGGGAGACCTTGATTTCCACTGACAACAAAAACGGAAATAAGAAAGAAACTGAAACAAAGAAACAAGCAAAAAATAATTAATATGCAATTAGAGGTAGCACAAAGCTATTATTCACTGAAGACCTTTGGTTTCATATAAAAAGCAAACAGAGAAATTAGACTACAAAGGAAATCCATAGATAATTCAGAGAGGAATAATGGAGGTGATGGGGTGGGAGAGAAAAGAGAGAAAATGAGGATGAAAAATAATAAACAAAAATGCAATTAATCAAAATTGCTCACCAAATTTTAGACAGAATTAATGAATATCAGCATAATTATATATATGTTATATATAATTATATATAGCAGGTTTCAAAAACAATAGTAGTTTATAATGTTTCTGGCACTAAATAATTTGTGCTTGCATTACGCTTTCTAGGGCAAAAAAGAATAGAAAGTATAGTTAGGTCTTTGGGAACTTTTTCTGGCAAGGGATCTTATCAATGAGTTAGGTTTTACCAATCAGACAAACATTAATCTTTAAGAAATTAATCAATACCCATCAAGTTAAATTTTTACTCAACTAAAACAACCAAAAGGAATGAACAGCATACAAGAACAACAAATAACTATAATAGAAAAAAGAAAAGGAATAAATATACCATTAAAGAAATAAAATTATAGCAGAAATGAATTATTAAAGTCAATTTAAAAGTAATTTAAATAGATTAAATTCTCATATTAGAAGACAGAGATTCTAAAACTGAGTTAAGAAAATCTGTCAGAAATAGAGCAATAAAAAACCTAAATAAAATTAGAACTTCAGTGTTAAGTAGCCAATAACTAAAATAATAAAGACAGCAGATACAATGAAGATGTATTTTTAGAAATAGAATTCAATTAAAAAACATTCAATACAGGAAAAATGCTTTATAAAGGCCAAGTTATTTCATAAAGATAATTATTTAAGGTATCTTTATATAAATACACATGCATATATAACTTGCAATAATCTCATAGTCAAAGAAAATTTGAATAAATAAAATCCACTAACACATTTTCATATGTGATTTTATATTTTTATAACACTAATTATCATTTTACGTGTAGAAAAGATTAAAGTGCATACACAGGTGGACACAGTCATACTGCCCTGTCCAGTTGTAAGATATTAACATGATTACTACCTTCAAAAATTTTAGAGGAAAGCAAAGATTAAGCTATAAAGTAAAAGCTTTATTTCCTCTATCTACCTTCCCTAAAACCAAGTATAACTATTTTATATTTGCAGCTCATTATATGAGTATAAGATTTTTGCTTTTCTTTATGTGCACAGGGATTTATTTAACCTTTAAATAAGGATCTATTAGAGTAGGTATTCATTTTAATACATATTTTTCTAATTTATAGGAATTAATTTTTGTAATTGATTTTTTAACTAACTAGATTATGATGGCTAAAATTAGCTCAGTGCCTAGATGCGCCCACCCTTCCTAGAACGTGCAAGCTTAGTCCTTCTCTTCGTTTCCTTATTTGTATTCTCACTGTGTAGCAGAACTTGCACCGTCTCACTAAGCAATGTTTCCATCTCTTCCTGGGTGTACCGCTCATACTCTGCAATAATGAACCCCATGTACCCTCGATAGCAGAGAAGACCTATCTCTGTCTCGTATTCAGTTGATTTACACTAACGTGTTCTTTCTTCCGATCTCATCATTTCCAGAGGGAAGCAAAAGGTTCAATTCAGGAAATCTTATGGTGTGTGTCATTATGTCAGTCTACAGATTATTTTGCACACAGGCAAACAAACTAACAAAAAGACTTAGTATTCAATAGGGCATTGAAATTCCCCTTCTCAGCACAGCAGCCTGTGGTACAAATTGAGTTTCACCCCGTGGAACTGGGAAGTGGTCCTCTCACGAAGCTGAGTCTCGGCATTAATAGATGTGGGTTGTCATGGTGGTTACATCAGGGGACCCTCTCAGCGCTTTGCTCTTGTATCATTAGGCTTTAAGAGTCTTCATTCATCTGGATTCTGTTTCAAACACT